GAAGCCTCAGACAAATTTTCATGTGCAACAGAAATGAGATCTTTAGTATGTTGCATTGGAAACATTAGACTTAAGCCAGACTGACCCTATCTTCTGTGAGCATCCTCGCCAAGAGGTTATTCTGAGGGTTATAAGAAAAGGTATTGATTTACTTCTTTTGCTGGAAATTTTGTTCTAAGCTTAGTACAGACCCCACATTCTTACGGAAAAGATGGTAAATCACTCAGACTGACTTAAGCTCATTTTACCAAAATATTTCCCTGCTAGCTTTTTTTAGGTTAGGACCAGAAAAGAAGCAAAGGGCTCAGTTACAGGGGATAGAAGGCTGGCTCCCAGGCAGTGTCTCTCTGAAGGATATAGAGGAAAACAAACCCAAAATATTTTAGTGAATGGGATTTTTCTCGAGCTCCATTGTTCCTGTGAACAGCCGGCACTTCAGCAGGAAAGAAAATTAAAACAAAAGCAGGAAGCTGTCTTTAGTCAATAAGGAATTAGGTATTCTTCCCAGCTGGTTGTTGACAAGTTCCCCACACTGTGTTCCCTCCCCAGTGCATCCAGTCTCTTTATCTCAGTCAGACCTACTAGATGGAACACTTTTCCTAGGATTTCCAAAAGAAACCTTACCATTTCTGGGTTGGAGGAGCCACAAGATGTAGAAGGCACATGGGAAAGGATTAATTTTACTGTTTGCTAGTGTCAGAGTCCTTCCTAGACATTTGCAGTATCTGCCAGCTTTTCTCTCTTGCTATTCCTATAGGAGCTCTTTAGACCCGGTGGTCCATGGGATTTAATCTGCCTTGTCCTTCTTGCAGTCACAGGGCAAGGTCCTTGGAGAGCAATAGATCCCCAAGCATCAACTGATGCAGCCGTCAAGCATCGCATTTATGCATAGTCTAAGGACACTGCAGGGGTTTTGGGTGCCCTCCAAGTTGTGAGTGCAGCTGTGTTTATTAAATCAACACCTGTAAGCCAGCGACTTAGCACAGAGACTAAGCAGCAGCAGGCAGTTAGTTCTTGTATGGGTAACTTCTCCCCAGGGGCATGCTTTACACTGAGATTCATTAGACGAATGGAAAATATAATGCTTTGAGTATCCTGTTAGGGACAGCTGTGTGCACAAACAGAGTAATAACTGATTGTAGGTGGGTGCAGGGCTGTGTGTGTTTGTATGGGCACACATATATACATGTACATAGGGTTTACAGGCAATCATATAGTGAGTGTACAAGTGTGAAGCTTGCTTCCAAACTTAAGTGCATCAATAATGTCGCTAATTAAAACGCTCTATAACATAGCTCTCCTATTACTTGCAAAATTCAAGGCTTAAAACTTCTGGATCCTTTAGTAGACAGAATATGTTATGCTTTCAGCCCACTGCTCCATTTAGGAGGCAGAGCAAGGTAACCCTGTGACCCTATTTGGTTGTCCTCAGTTTGAAGCCAGATGCCCAGCAGCCTAAGGCCATCCAGTCTTCATGAAACTTGATAGGTGAAAATCTTGTATGTGTTAAAACCCACTAATCACCTGCATAATACAATAAGCCATAGCAGCAGCCACCTGCACTCCTTCCTTGCTTCAGAGAGGGAGAGGTCTTTGCAGGCATGGTTTTACCTGTGTCCCTTCGGTCCTTTGTCTTGGGCAGGGATGCTACACGCTGAGTTGTGATGGGGACTCCTGCCTGGTCTGTAAGTTTTCTCCTGTTTTTCATCATGCAGCCATTAGATTGTAATATTCCTGGGGTTAACTCCAAACCAGAGACCTCAAGGTGGGCAGCTGCATACCCAGACCTACAAAAAAATGAAAAACCCAAGAGGTCTGGAGGAAACTATGGACATGCTCAGAAGTTCAGGCCATGTGAAGTGAATGTAAATATTTTCTCTGTTTTCAGAAAGGGCATCTTTCCAGGCTGAGAATTCAAAACTATTTTTCTCTTGTGTAGGATATTTCTAGGCCCCGGCCGCCCCAGAGAGCTTTGCCAGCTAATCCTGTCCCAGCCAGACCCAGAGCCTGTCCAGGGAACAGCCCGGCCATCTCGCTGCCTCCGGCACGCTCCAGAACCCCAGGATGGCTCCAGCCTGGGGCGGAGGTAAGCACTGAGTGATGTGATGGGAAGTATAGCTGTGTCCCCTCACCACTGGGGAATAAAAGCACTCCGAAGGAAGTAACCTTGTTATCATACTGCAAATCACCTTCATGCACAGCCCCAGAATGTGGAAATGAAGAGGCTGTTGGGTTGGTTGCCTTTGTTGCAGTGGTCTCTGTTTTCACCTGTTCCTTATTGAGCATTTACTGGATTAAGCCAGACAGTTAATTCAATCCTCCACATCCCTGAGCACTTCCTTAGGTAAGACATCTGTCTGTGTGAGCGGGGCTGAACAACATGGGGGTCAAGGTGTATCTTTCCTGAAATGGTTAGTGAAGAGCAAAACAAGAAGGTCCACACAAGACTTGAGGACCCCAGTAAGGAAGAGAAATTCTCTCTAGCCATGGCTAAGGAGATGCCTTCTCTGCAGGGGTGTTCCCCAAAATTGTCCTTAATAAGGACAGTTAAAAAGGCACTTTTAGTTGCTGAGTTCAGCTCCCTGCAAACTGGACCCCTGAACACAAAACACCCCCATTCCACACACCACAGGTGCAGCCTGCAGTATGCTTGAGGCCAGTTGTGAAAAATCAAGAGAACTGCTGGAACTTCATTGTGCTCCTGATGGGAGAGTTTCCTATGTGATGCATTAGGGTGTGAATGTATGCGAATGGAGACAGGCTTCCCCTGGCCAACTGTAATATCAGCTGAGGGAGAAGGCAGGGTTTAGTCTTTCATCAGTGCTCACTCCTCTCTCTTTTCCCCATTTTCCATCTCACCCAGAATACTGGTGTTGGGGCAGCTGGAGCAGCAAACATCTATAAAGTGGGATAGCCGGGCTCCTGTGAGCGCTCATGAAGCAGTCTGTTCCTGGCTGGCTCTGACCTTCACCTGAGACTGGATGGCCTTCATCACCCAAAAAACTGTTCACGGCCACAGACAGTGTCTTGGTTCCTCTCCTCTAGCCTCACAGGTTTCCTATGTGTCTCAACAAGCTGCAGTCAGGCTTGGCAGGAGTGCCTCCAGGAACTGTGCCGGTACATGCCAAGCTGAACTCAACTCTCTCTGCTGATAGCCTTTTCCATGTAGGGATGACTTCTTTATACGGTATTTAAACATTATTGTGCAATATCCAATGCAGGGATGGGGTAATGGGGGTTTCACGTGTTTTTAATCAGTTATTTAAGTGTTACCAGGGAGAACAATCTGTGAGTGCAGGTGCTGGCCCTGATGGGCTTTCATGTAAGACCCAGCCCTGTTGGCTTCCTCAGCTGCATACATTGGTGCTATACAGAAACCGCTGCCTCTTGGGAGCACAGAAGGCAGCCATTGATAACTTTCTTCATCTTATTCTCAGTTTACAGTGGGTGGCAGGTGGGGCCACACCAGGGAGCAAACCATGGAAATATTCCTGGTTAAAATAATTTGTGGGTCACAGTGGATTTTGATTAGCTTTAATAGTGCGGATTAATTATTTTCCTCATATAACCATCTACTGTAAGAGCATTGCAACCTGTCTGTCCTCCAGCACTTGCTTGTCTTGCCTCAGTGCTGTAAGACCCGACAGCATCCCCAGCGTGGCCCGTGCACTCACATCCATGTCATTGGGACACAGTCAAGGTACGACAGGGAAACTCTCTGGCCAAGATACACAGCAAATGGCTGGAAGGAAGCTCAGCAAGTCAGTGCTGAAACCTCCTCTCCAGCATGCGGTACCGTGGATCAGTAGATACTTTTCCACATGTCTCCTCAGGCTTCTGTCCATGCTGAGTAGTAATTCAGCATGGGCTGTCTGCTCCCCATAGCAGTGAGAAACCTACCTTTAAATTGCCCAGGTGGTAAAACAGCAGAAATATTAGTGTAACATATGGTGCTTTTGTAGGGCAGCTCATTTACTCCAGGCTTTTTCTCCAGGACGTGGATGGAGAGAGCTGTCTGTGTGCACTTTAAGCAGCTGATGGTTCTGACCCTGAGGATGGTCCCTTATGAATTTGTTTTTTTTATTCCTCTTAATAGTTTGGGCTTTTGTACATTTTTTCTCAGGAATTTAAATTAAGACCTTTTGTTATGCCAAATTTTTTTCTTCTTTTCCTTTAAATGATTTCCTAGGAGGACATAGGGAATTCTGGAGCTATGGTTACAACAGTTCTGTTGTGGCTGATTTATTATGGACAAATCTTCAGTGTGATTGCTGCTGCACATGTGAGAAACTGTATTATTGGCATAAAGAAAATGAGTCTTGTCTGATGGTTCTCTTTCCCTAAACTCTACTGATCAAAAAACAAACAAACAAAGAAACCAGATAAACCCTAAGCACTCATTAAAATTGTAGTTATATGCAGCAGTGTATCTGTAGGATGACTTAAACCACACTAGTTTTCACAACTTTACTACCTCTTACTCCACAAGGAAATAGTACAGAGGGTGTGACTTGAATTTCTGGTTGATAATTCCTTATCTTTATCATTTTGGACCTTTTCTTACCTTCTATATGCCTGGAAAACAAACCAACCTAAAATACTTTCTCTGAAATAAGGGATGGCAAGTGAAGGACATCAGCTTTCTAAACCTTAGATGTCTTTTTCTATAGTTGAACTATATTATATATAAAAAACCTATATTCAGACAACCCCCAAATCTCTTTCTTGGGGTGCAGGTAATGTGGCTATGTAATGGCATGTTTTCCTGCTCACAGCTGGAGCAAAGTTGGGCACATACTGTAATAGTACAGATTCAACCAGAAGAACTTGATCTTACATCCAAGCCCTTGAAGACAGCAGCATATTTCTGCTGCAGGCCCTAATCTTTATCAAATGGCCACCAAAAATCAGTAAGAATATTTTCACTGCATTTCATGTGAACATGGGGTCAAGCTTTTAAAAAATTCCCTCAGACACACAAAGCTCAGAGAACAACTGGATGTTCCAAAATGCTAATGGAAAACTTTATTGCCAGAGTATCAAAGTCTACAAAAGGTAGTTTCAAGTAAGTCCTTTTAATTTTCTATATGTGTGCAAGTTGAGGAATAAGAATAGGGGAACTGCAGGAGTAAAATGTGATTTTTTTAGAAAGATAATATCACTTAGGAGAACATATACCAAAATACATCTCACTTTCTCCTGTATCCACATATTAATGGTTTACAATAATGCTCTCTGTGCATCTATGCAAATACTTGAAGAACACAATTCATTGTGCCTTTTGCCTAGTTTTAATAAATTTGTCAGTTGTCATTAACAAATATTCTGTCACTGTGTACTATTTTGGTTCAATTCTTCATTTTATGTGTAGCATTTGTCGAGAGATGGCAGGCTATCTGGAGGAATGGCTTTTATGAAATGCAGTTCTAGGCAGTGAGAAGGATGAGTCCCGTTCACAATATATTTCTAAATTAAAATGCATAAAGCGTTATACCAATTAGGATGCCAAAACTAGAGCTACAGTGAACTACTTTGATTATTTTCTGCTACCAAAGGAGGGCGCTGCTGTTTTTCTCTCTGCCCCAGATGCTCTTTCTGCTGGACTCTGCTGTCCTTCAGTCTGTTTATCCTTTAGGGCTACACTGCACAGAGAAAGCATTAAAAACTTTCAGACACATCTGCAAGGGTTTGGTTTTTTTTTTTTTTTGGTTTTTTTTTTTTTTTTTTTAGCAAAAGCCTTTATTTCCCTTTCCACATTCCAAAAAAGTACTGAAATGTTATTAAAATAAGAGATTGTATACTCCTCTCCCCAAAACCCCAAGATGTATTTGCTCAGAGGCGCCCAGACCCAGGTACAAGCAGGTCAGCATCTCAGACAGCATCTGCGTGCCATGGTCCTGGGCTATCCCAGCCAGAGCTGTCTCCAGACCAAGCCAGCTTGACAAAGCTGGCTCAGGCTTCAGTGCTCCCAGTTTGGGATTTGCTATGAGCAAATGGGCTCCAGTCTCCTTGTGCTATAAGACATAGCAGCAAGATAGGAGAAAATTTCAGCTGTGGTATTAGCTTCCTTTTTTACCTTCCAGCTCAGAATGTTATTTCTCCCATCCCTTCATCCTCACCACTGATATATATCCAAGGGCGTTTTGAAGGTGAGCTGTGAGCAAGAGTCCAGGTAACATCCATACTAAATTGAGAAAGATGGAAAGGGGTGAACGGGACCACTCTGGGATAAACTGAATCCCTACAGCTCTGCAGAGTATCATCCACTTATGCCTGTTTGGCTCTTAACATGCAGCTCAGACGTCCCTCTAAACAAACAAACAAGCTGGGAAAAAAAAAAAAAACAAAACAAAACAAAACAAAACAAACTTTTGGGCTTAAATGATAGCAGGACAAGTCATGGGGCTCAAAGAGTTGGGGGGCTCTACAAGCTCAAGACATTTTGTAAGAGAAAAAAACACTTAAAATTTACAGCCACTTGGTCTTTCAGGCTGAAAAGATTTTCACAGACCATAAAAAGTCTTGAAGATGGTGGCAGTTTCTCTTGACATGGAGTTTACCCTGCCAGAGCTCCCCAGTCTGAGCAGGGGCTGCCCCTTGCTCAGGTGAGGTGTGGATCAGGCCCAGCAGCTTCACCAACCACATCAACGTAGCCTGGGCACCATAGCTGCTAAGGAAAAAAACCCAGACAAACAAAACCCCACATAAAACTAACTCCTACACCTCACAAAAAACTAAAGTTGAAAAAGATTTTTCTGCCATGGTTCTGTAAAAACACTTCATGGCTTGGGTTCTGTCACTGAGCCTGAGTGAGCACCTCTTCCAAAATTTGTGATATTTTGCCCATATTCACCAACATTCTTGTCCTGTATTTGTAGAGCAAGTAATTAAACATGGATTAGCAGAGTCTGAATAACAGGAGTGCACCATTCAGTCCTTGTCTCTCTCCTCCGTTTGAGATACTGGTATGTGTTTTAGAGTTCATGAAAGTGTCTAGAAAGAAAAAAAAAAAAAAAAAGGACAAAAAACATTAATTAATGACTTAATCACAGCCTGGAAATAAACACATCAATGGCCACCCCTGGGAAGGAGTGCAAGAGTAAACATTAGCCCTGCCAAGAATAAAAGATGGGAAGGGGCCTCAGTGAGCTTTGACCCAGGAGTATATTTCAAGAGGATTTTAATTTTCAGCAGCTGCATGTGTTAAAGCCCAGTGAGGGTTAAACATGCCCCTTGCTGCCACACCATGAAAAAGATCCAATCCAAAAGGCCAGAAAAAGACTTGGCTTGACTCTACCAAGCTTTAGATAAGACACTGTTGGTTTTATTTCTGCTTTTCCTTTTTTTTAGATTTCTCACTAGCATCTGGAATATTGTTATCAACCCATTCACCCAACTGCCAGACCCTCATGTATAACTTGCTTAGTGTAGAGCATGGATACTTTGGGTTTATCCTCTGGGGCGATGCTGGAGTTGTCCACCTCTATCAGGATGTTCTTGTCATCTCGGGTGACTGGCACTTGCTGTCCACTCTGGAGGACTTGTGGTAGGTTTCCTAAACTGACGTCCATGTCTTTGAAGGCATGGAGTAGAAACACCCCCAAAATGATGGTGAGGAAGCCACAAACTGTCCCAATGATGTCAACTACGGTCATGGCGACCCACTCCTTAAAGAGGATGATGGAAGTTGCGATGACGATGGTGGTGAACAGCACATAGTAGATGGGAAACACCAAAGAGGTGTTAAAAATGTCTAGAGACTTATTGAGGTAGTTAATCTGTGTAGTGATGGATGCCACCAGCGTGATGACTAGGATCCATGTCAATGGGTGCTGCAGCACAAGCTGGCCAGCAAAGAAGCCCTTGATGGCAATACCCAGGCCCTTGACTGAGGACACAGAGAAGGCACCAATAACAGAGCAGATGGTAAGGTAGATTAGGATGTTGCTCTGGCCATAGCGGGGTGCGAGGTAGAAGATCAGGAGGAAGCAGACAGCCAAGAGGATTGCGGCATAAGCGAGGAAACCTGGAAGAGAAAGAGAAGTAACTCAAAACTGAGTGACAAGCATGGGGAGCAATATGCACTGCCCAGTCCTGAGAGAGAAAACATGAGCTCGTGCATACCTGGCTCTTTCAGCTTGGAAGACATTTCATCCAGAGTGGTGACCTCCTCATCCTCTGGGGCATGTATCACCATCACGGTGCTGCCCACAAGGCTGAGCATGCAGCCCAGCTTTCCCAGCAGATTGAGCCGTTCTCCAAGCAAATACGAAGACAGGATGGCACTGCGCAGGACAGAAAAATGTCAGGTGGTGCTTTAAAGTCCTTTAAAGAAGGAACAGCAGTTAAATAAGGTAAAGAATGCCTCCATGTGCCTTCACAAGAACACAGATTTGGAGTAAATTTGTTGGATTCCAATGTATTAATACACAGTCACATTGCATCTACTGACAGCAGAACCTGCAGAGATGCAGGTGTGATTTATAGATCTGCAAAAACATCTAGTTGTTGTCCATAAAAATTTGGGGCAAGACACTAGAGCAGTCCTAACTCCCAGTTTGCTTATGCATTTCACAATAACAGTCCTTCTAGAAAACCTTCAGTACCTCGAGTTATGTATCTTGATATGAATCTCCTTTTAAAAATAAAGAAATAAAATAGGGTTTCAGCTCTATTGCCAAAAGACAGAAGTATAAAACCGCAACATCAGAGCACCCTAAAAGCTTACAAAATAAAAGGCAAAAGAAAGTTTAAAAAGAAACATGCTGTTTTGGACCCTTTTAGGTTTTTAGTACTATTCACTACAAGAAAAAAAAAAACCAAAACAAAACCACCAACTTTGAATTGGCTAAAGAGCTGGAATAAGGAAGGAAATAACACTGATATTTGCAATAATTTAACCTGAAATGTATGTGGCTGCTATCCACATGCAGCATTTCCAGAAAGGCATACTACTTAATTCAGTGGTTTCCAAATGATCCCCCAAAAGGACAACAACTGTTAAGTGTTTTTAAGAAAACACTGGGACTTTTTTCCCTTTAGGCAGAATGAATCATATCTGCATCACTTCAAGTCTTTCTATCTTACAAGACAAGCAAGCAAACAAAAAAGGCAAACTATAGACACATAAATCACCTTATGAGCACGCTCAGAGCCCCCAGAGGCGTGACAATAGTTGCAGGAGCAAAGGCATAGGCAGCAAAGTTGGCAGCTTCCCCTCCACCCACTAAACAAACACAAGAAAAATAAATACCAGTGAGTTACAGTATAAATTTTGTGTTTTCTCTTGTGGGCTTGCAAGCTAGTAAGATGTCAGAGAGTGGGTTTTATTATAGGGGTTTCACATGTCTGCTAAACAGGGCCAGATAGTGGGTGAAAACTCTATTACAAATTAACACAAACAGAGAGGCATCCCTGGAACCCTGGAGCCCCACACAGAGGGACTGGGGGTGCCAGGGCTTGGCTGTGTCACAGCTGACACATATCAACTCAATGAACCCCGCAGCCCAGCCAGGCAGCTGCAGGGTGTTGGGGTGATTAGTGAGGGGGTGGGCTGTTTTGGGAGCTGCTGTGAAACTGCTCCTCACCTACAAACTGTCTCCTTGGGGCTGTGGTGTTACCCTCTGGCTGAGCTGTCCTTGTCCCTTGAGTAGTGAGTATTGTGTGCTTGCTTATGGGTTGTGCTACGGTGGTTTGGAGCAGGAACTGTCAAGGGCAGAGCAAGGTGGGGGTACCTTGAGCTGCTGCCACTGCAATGAGAGCCAGAAAAGACTGCTCTGGAAAATCTCTGCTGCCTCTTTGCACAGTCATGAGTCCAATTTGAGAAGATACTGGAATGTTGCATCATGAAAAGAAAGATTTAAGGCTTGCTCTAAGGCAAAGCAAGTTTTGCTCACGAAAGGAATTGCTATCAACACCTCCTTGCTATCTCCTTTGTGCTGCAGCAGCAACCTTGCGCCGAGCCTGGGAGGCTCTCTGCCTTGTTCTTGGTATGCAGGCAGACCAGCCAGCTGCCTTATTAAAACCTGGCTTTTCATGCTTTGGATCAAGTAAAACTGAGCTAACAAGCCCTACCAGCCCTGCAGGAGGATGGTGAGGGAGATCCCGTGTGGCTGACTGCCTCTGCTCTCCTTGAGGTACCACTGCTGGTGATGGGGGGAACTTGCAAGAAAAAAGACTTTAAACTGTCAGATGATGGGCTCATTTCACAGCTAATTCACAGGGACAGACCCTGGAAAAGCTGCAAACCCAGGGAAACAGCTTCTACTTACTGGTTAACAAGCCAGCCCACCAGAGCCAGTCCTTTAGGTAGCCATGGCCTCCGTCTCCTGAGGAAGCAAAGCACACAGGTGTTCAGGAGTTACTCCAAAGAACACGGTTGATTAAGAGATGAGAAATACCCCTTTGGAGAGAGATAAATTGTAAGGGGAAGAGTGTGACAAAGAAAACAGCCTGGAAGGACAGACTATGCAGACATACCATCCTGTGTGGAAATTATGTTGAGTCAAGGGATTAGCAGAAGCTGGCACTTGGGGCTGGGTAATGCAAAAACAATAAAAGCAGTTGTTTAATCCCATGTGGGAATGGCACCCACTGCCCCAAAGCCCCAGAGGTTCTCAGCCTGGAGTGCAGCCTGCCCTGCTGCAGCATGGAGCCTGGGGCTGCCCTTCAGCCCTGAGTGCTGTGGTCGTCCTCGCTGGTTCATCAGGGTGCACTGGCCCCTAAACCCAGCAATAAACACTCCAGCTGACAACCCACAGACCAGACGTGTTTTGTCTTGCCTGTTCTCTATGGGGCACTCCTGGAGCAGACGGATGAAGGATGGCAGGGGCTGCTCTGTGCAGGGTGCCCCTGGGACACAACCACCCTGCATCCTGCCCGTGGGGAGCCCACGCTTCACCTCGCATAGCTCCAGCTTGCTGTGGAGTCTCGTGCGTGGGCTCTAAGGTAAGACAATGAGTTTTTTCCAAACCTAGTTCAAGTGGGAGTTATCGCTATGAAAGGTGAAGGGGGGACAAAAACCAGTCGGTTGATCTGTGCGGGCCTGTGGTGCCTGAGTTTGTGTTGCTGTATGGTCATGGTGAAGGCTTCCTGCGTCCTGTCCCAGAATCTATCTGTTCCTTTTGCACACTGCCTCCTATCATAGTTGTATCATAGGGTCTCAGCGTGAACTGCTAGAAATCCTAATGTTTAACTTTATGTGGAACAGTCATTATGTGACTGAGCATTTCTGATGAAAAATTATTCCTGGCATTGGAACGACTCAATGAAAGGAAATGTGCATATAAATGAGGAAGAATGGACAAATTGTGTTGGGAACTAATCCAGTTCTGGTCTTAACCCATAAGCTGTTAGGTGTAAGGAGTTTGAGCCTGCTGACATTGTGAACCCTGATTTTACTGGGTCAGAGCGAGCCCATCTTTTGGATAAGTCTGACCTGGTTGGAGCTGTCAGTAGCAGCACTTTGACCTGCCTTGGAGAAAAGTGATGTGTTCAGTCAGCAGGGGTGAAACAGTGGGACTGAGAGATTAAAGGGTGAGATATAGAAAGGGGGAATGAAGAGGCAGATAGGAATTTGCTAGAATCCAGACTCTTCTGGTTCCTCAAGTTCACAAATGCTCAAGTTCAAATGCTATGCTTTGGTATTCCTTAGAAATTGCTGTGTTGTTTTGTTTTGTTTGGTTGCATTATTTCTCAAGAACTCTTTTTGACAACTGCAGCTTTCTGTCATTAATCTCTAATTCCTGGTTAAACATCCTGAAGAACAAGGATGGGTTTGCTCTTGATTTACTTGCTTGGCTCTGCTGTGGGAGGAGTTCATGGAGGCAAGGAGGGAGACATCTTCTACAATTGAAACAGTACTGATATTTCATTGTGCAAATATAAGGTGAAAAGCAAATCTGTGTGAGTTCAGCAGTTGCATGCAGCCAGCCTAATGGCAGGGACTGGAGACAGACTCGAGACTGGACTGGACTGCCTCAGGCGCTGTTGGTAGCTTTGCTGCTCACCTGTTGGTTGACTCTGGACAGTCATGTCATCATTCCATGCCTCCATGTCCTTGTATGGGGACAGTAATACCAACTTCCTTTGTAAAATGATTTAAGAATTGTTCCTAGGCCAGAACAGGGAAGCAGTATTTTAATCATCATTATTTTGTTCTGGAGTTATGCAAGTAGGTCAGCTGCCAGGTGGCATTTACACTGCTGCTAGAGTGAATGTTTGCAACGCTGATGGGATGCGTCCAATTCCAGTGTAATTCTGCAGTAGGCAGTGCTCCTCCACCGTTTCCCATCCACATATATGTGCACATAAGCACACGCCTTGCCCTAAGAGCCTGGTGCTAGAGGAATGTTATCTACACGTTGTTGAGCAGCATGCCTCTGAAGTGTCCTTTCTGAAAACCACAAGCAGAGTTCACACAGATCACAGGTGTGCATTCCTGCATTAATAAAAGGCGCCTGCTAATGGAATTAAAGCACACGGGGCCACATCCTTTTCTCAGTGACTTGGTGGCAAAGCTGCCTAGTGCATCAATAAGAGCAAAAGTGGGGTCATAAAGGTGAGCTGTTCTGCTCCAGTCTGTGGCATGGGGATGACTTGCACCTTTGTGCAAAGGGGCACGTTTCAAAGAGCTTTCAACACTTTGCTTCCTTCTGGCCTCACACTTTCCCATGCAAGAGCTGCTATGGGTACATATTTTTCTTCTGGTGGGTGCATATCTGATGACACAGTGCATGTGACTCGCTATTTGTGGTGCAAGGCAGGGGAATGCTGTATTTAGCTGAGTCCTTTCAATGCAGGGCTCTGTAAATTAGCTCCTCGGCTCCAGCACAAAACTGCTCCCTGAGTCTCAGACACAAACATACATGCAGAAAAGGTCTGTCTCACATTGCTGATGGAAGGCTGACATGTACCCAGAGGTGCTCCCTTGCCATACGAATGCTGGAGTTTGGATGATGTGTGTGGTTCTGGGAACAGGTGGGCCTCCTCCTTCCTGCCCCCCCCCCCCAAAAAGCCTTACCTGCCCTCGTGCCTCCCTTCTCCACCAGCCGTAGCAACCCCTTCTTCTTGAGGATGACGCTGCTTCCGATAAGGAAACTGGAGAAGACAGCCAAGCCCAGGCCAATGTAGAATCCATAAGTGCTTTCCAGCCGAGTTACCCAGAAGTTATCCAAAGTCCCATTGTCCTGGACAGAGTCAGTAGGCTCAGCATCGCTGATCACCCGGCACACAACCCGGTGGGAGAGGCACGAAAGGGTCACCAGAGACCCTGTGAGACCACCATGGAGATAAAATGGCAAATTACTGATATGACTATCAATAGTGCCTCTGTTTCTCTTTAAATTCATTCAGATGTCCCTCTGAACAGCCACTCATGCTGTCACCCTAAGAGCACACACCCACCAGCTCTCAAAAACTCAAGACACCTCTTTACTCACGTGTAGAAATGGCAAGGTATTGAGTAACGGACTGATGGAGTGTAGTTCAAGCAGCTTGTTAACACTGAATACATGTGCCAGTCTATTGAACTCGAAGGACACAAGGCCCACTATAATCAATTTGAATTTCCAAATATCTGTGCCAGAGTCTCTCCACCAAACTCCAATGTTATGAGTTCGAACTACTCTGCATCAACACTCAACCTTGTTGATTCAGAGGCTTTGGTGCTTTCCAGCCAACTAATCCCCCATCTGCCAGCTCGCTTACAGCTTCTAGATCTGGGTTTAATGTGGAGCGATGCCAGTGCTTTGTAATTGTGCACCTGTTCCAGCTCTGTACCCAGCAGTGCCACAGGATTGCTTGTACAACAACAGGCTTGTCCTGGACCAAAGTTTCATCTATGCATTGCCCCTACTGTCTAATGGTTTTATTCTACCAATCTGCAGAGCTCCTGAGTGCTTGTAAAGCATGCTAAATCCTGCCAGTGCTGAAGGACTGAAAGCAGGATGGTTTCCTGTTGTTAACACCAAAAGCACTAAGCTCCCGTGTCTCTAGCCAAGGTGTGTTGCTCTGTGTGGGTGGGAAAATTGCTGAGTTTCTTCCTATCTTCACACTCTTGCCACACCCAGCACATCTTTCTATTGCAACCTTTACTCTGAGTGTAGTAAAGATGGTGTGACTGCAACTGTGGGGAACAGAGCAGCCAGGCGGAGGGTCACAAAAGTACCTTTGTAGTAAAAAACTAATTTTCTGCCTGAACTCACGTAGGAATCATGGAGCAAGTATTTGTGTCTTTGCAGGCAGGGGTATGCAATGCCTAAACTGTTCACAGTGCCGCTGGCAGCCTGGGCATGGGTCCCACCTTTTCCTGAACCAAGAGACTGTCTTAGGTCTTCTGCAGCTGCACCCCCCGTTCCTGGCACATGTAGCTGAGGATTTGGATCTGAACGGGATCCAAACTTTTTCTAATAGGAAAAATTCCAGTGACTTTCACGATGAGTTTCTAAAGGTTCCGTAACAGGTTTTTTTTGCTAATGGAAAAACATCCTTGATTGTGGAGGTCTTTCTTGGGGAGCAGGGAGGACACCTTGTCTCCTCGGCTGAGTGTAAGTCTCTGCAATGTGCTACTGGGCACAAACATAAGGCAGTGGGATGGGGTGATTTTCGACTGAATTAGGTAATCTTTAAAGGAAAAAAAGAAAAATATTCCTAGTTTCTCTGCAAGCGCTGTGAGGCTGACACAGCGCAGCCGCTGGCTGCATGGCTCGCAGAGAAAGGGAGTTTTCCCATTCCCATACAGACCTCAAAAAAAGGAAAAGAAACCCCAAATCCCCAAAAGCAGAGCTGAGAGAGCGCAGCCCCAAAGGCGGGCGGGGGACGCGGTGGGGAGCCGGGGCTGCCTCCCCCCCCCTCCCCGCGGGCCCTCCCGCCGCTCTCCGCGGGCGCGCAGGGCTGAGCCCCGGGGCGCGTCCCGCTCAGCTCCCCCCCCCGCCCCCCCCCCCCCGCGGTGGTCCGGGCTGCACCCACCGTTGCTGCAGCTGCTGTTGGCCTCCAGCGGCTCCATCCCGTTCGTTCTCCGGCGGGCTCAGAGCATCCCGGCGGGGCTGGGCAGGGCCGGGCCGCGCTGCGCTGCGCTGCCAGCAGCACCTCTGCCCGCCCGGCTCCTCCTCCGGGACGGGCCCGGCCCGGCGCTGCGCTCGCTGCACCGGCCGCAGGTACGCGTGCAAGGCTTGCACACTCCCCCGGGCAACCCCTGCGCCCCAGCCCCATCGCTGCCCTGGCCCCGCGGCCCCTGCCCCCCGGGGGGCGGGGGGGGGGGGGGGTACGGCGGCAGCAGCGGGTGGGTTCAACAGCCTTGGTACAGAGCCGGGACGAGGCTCCCCTGCCTCAGCCCAGCCAGGGATTTCTCCTCTGGAGTGTGTTTTTCTTACTGCAGGGGTTGGGAGAAGGTGCCGGGGAAGCAGGAGGCTGCGCGTCTGCTTAGGTGGGGGGTGAGCGCGGTTGCAGCGGGTGATGCGTGCTGCGAAGCCCTGGTCGTTATAGGTGCGCAGAGTATGGGGGAAGAGAAATCAAAAGTAAACAAGAAGTTAAATCCTGTGGTCCTGAAGATACCTCCTCGTATGAGAAGAGACTGTATCTGCAGCTAATACAGCAAGGAAACATCTCAGGAAGTGTCCTGTTGCTTCAAGCATTGGTGATTATTATTCTCCACTCAGTACAACGGCAGCGTGCTGTAGGCTGTAGGACTGAAGGACAAGGTTGGAGGGACTGAGAAATGTGTAGAGGTCTAAGGAAGATGGATATATCCTAATGGAAGTTTTGCGATGGGTGCACGGTTGCCTGCCCTCACTGTCCACGAAAGGCATGCTGAAGGTCACACCAAATTTCCCTGATTTTTGAGTTGTAGTGGGAAGGCCAGGCTGCAGGGAAAGGTGCATTTGAAAAAGAAATATTAACAAAGATGACTGTGTAATGACAAGGGCACTGTTGTGCAGTAAAGTGTTGTGCAAAAGGAGATCAGAGATCCAGGACACAATTTCACCAGCAGCAGCAGCTGTGATTTAAGACTTAGCTGTTTCCATGCTGAATCTCACTCCTGAGAAAGTCAGCTCTGGCCAACGGGCTCCTCCATCACTTGAATTCATTTTACATCCTTTTATATTGTGACTTTTTGGTTGGCAGGGCTCACTCATCACAGCATTGTGGTTCAGCCCCTACCAGAGATTGGGGGCTGTAACTCCCCATCCCACTGCAGCCAAAGCCTCTCTTGCTAATATTAACGTGTGAATGTTTTGGAGTGTGTTGCACACCAGTGTTTTGCTTTCATCCCCACCCTCCTCTGCCGACATCCTCCCTTCCTGTGTTTGTGCATGGTGGCCGTGTGTACACAGAAACCTACTGCTGATACAAAAGCCCTTTCATTGCAGCAGGAGCCATTAGCCAGATTTTGCTGTAGGTCAGTGGAGATAAGTAAACCTGGTAGATTTTCTTCATCAAGGCCACATTTATAGGTAGAAATGGTACCTACCATAAGGCAATATAAAGAAGTAAGATCTGCAGGATCTGAACGTCTCTGAAAATTTGCATTTTTCTCCCCCATAAAATATATTACCTGTTACTACAGAAATTGCCTTTAGAGCACAAAGCTGCAGCATTGCTAGCACCACATGGCTTCTTTGCTCAGCACCTGATCCTATCTCTGTACAACTTCTCTCTGACAAATGTAATGTTCAAGTGTTTTGTGAGTCATTTGATTTTAATCAGGTCTGTTCATCGGTCACAGGCCTGCAGGTCACTGGCTGGAAGAGACTGTGCCAGCCAAATCCTATATCCTCCCCTTTATCACAGGAGCACTTGATAATCAATCCAAATGGTGTGGCAGGAGGTTTTGATGCAGGAAATGAAACGTGTGCTGATTTATCAGTGATCTGGGAGCAACTTCTGCTGCTGTTAAATATTATGGAGGCAAAAGGCATCCTGGGCAAGACAATGATGGCAGGATTTGGCCTTTATTTAGTAAATTTACTTGCTGGTGCTGGTTAAGAGCTATTCATGCAATGTGTAAATACAAGGCTCTTTGCAGAAACCGAGGTGATGGCAGAGTGGGACAAGCATTTGCTGTGTTTGCAGTGCTGGCTGCCTGCAGCTGGCTGGGGGAATTTGTGTCCCCTGTCCCCTCACAGGGGGACATGCTCCTCCTGCTCGCTCCGCTGCTCAGGGGCACTGTGGGGCTCTCCCCTTTGCTGGACCTTCTATGACACCCCAGGGTCTTCCTCTTAGCTGAGGAGTTCTAATGGTGATGTGATTATTGGCAGTTAAACTGCGTCCAAAATAATTTCCAAGTTTTGTGGGTGAGTGTTGTTGACATCTGTGCAGAGCACAGTTGCCCACTGCACACAAACAGGCATTAGGCAGGGAGAAAATTTTTATGGAAGGGATCTGGCGTTAAAATAATCCTTTTGGTCATGGTGCAACCTCATAAATTACTGCCACAGCAGAGGGGGTGGTGCAGTCAAAAGCAAAAGGCACTTTGGGGCACAGCTTTATCTTCCCCTGTCAGCTTCATTTCCTAAAGGAAAAGGCTAATGTGACCACATACACGTGTGTTTATGCAGCTCCCTTCATTCCTAAAGATATCTGATCTCATGAGCCACTTTTGCCAGATTTGACAAGGGGTGAGATCTCCAAGAGAAGCTGTTCTTAATTCTGGGAAGAGAGGAGGCACGCCAGGGATGAGGTCCTAAAAGGAAGGGACACTGCAGTGTGAGCGCACTCTATCAGACATCAGGGAAGGAGCGTGCCTAGTTGTCACCACCGTGGGAGAAGCTTCAGTCAAATCTTGCAATCAACCACAGGACACAAGTGTGTCACGTATTTCTTTTTCTCTGGTGCAGAGGCTGTGGGGGTGTGGTATATAAAATCCCTAAATCACAGGAGTTGCATTTGATGGATTTAGCAAGGCTGCGTATGGCAATATGGGAGTTAAAAGCCAGGTAGGATTGGCATGGAATTGCCTGCTGCACTTAGTCAAGGGCAAGTTGAGACTGATAACAATAAAGCAGGGATGCAACCAGTGCCTCTTTTATTGCTTCATATCCTCATTTTAATGGGAAGGCTGTAATTAAGAGAATCCAGCTCCAAGCTGTGACCTCACTGGTTGATACTCACATCAGATGTTTCCTTAAAAATAACTCATCAGAAATCAGGGAGTCTTCCTTAGCAGCTCATCTTCTAACAATGCAGTTCCTCCTGAAATACTGGTTTCCAGGCCAAAAAACTTGACTGGAATCCAGGGGGTAGAGCAAGACAGCTTTGCATGCAAATAACCTCTTTAGCAACATCAAAAGGCTTTTCTTTCCCCAGCTCTTCTCTGCTCATCTCCTCTGGTCTGGAAAAAATGATGGAAAAATAGCCTGCTAACAGGTGATGGAAACTTTTGACCTTGGATGTCTGCTAGGCATGGTTGCTGTGGAAACTTTCAGAACAGGGTTGCAATATTCTGCTATGGCTTTGTATAGTTTGAGGGCTCCAAGGAGCCATTTGCTGCTTCAAAGAAAGGGTAAATCCTCCTCTTTCTGAAATGACCTGTTTGTTCATGGGTTAAGGGAATTGCCTGGTGTTCAGATGATTGAAGCACTACATGAAAAGATGCTCAAAGCTTGAAAGACCGGACTTTAGTGAGCAGACAGCTTTTAATTCAGCCTATCTCAAGGTAACCGTGTCCGCAGTGGCTGAGGCTGTCATTTCATGCTACAAGAGTTTAGGCACCACCACCAACACAGAGTTCCCAAGCCCATCACACCTGTGGTGGGTTCCCACCCTTGCTGTAGTGTCCTCCCTGTGCTAGTGCACATACCTGTGGGTCTGTGCTGTGGAGCAGCTGAGTGATCCAGGATCGTTAGGCTGTAAAACACACCCCAACTCATTTCTCCCAGGGTTGTTAAATTTTGTGTCCAGATCAGTTCAGTGATCCAGGTCACTGTGGCTCTATCAACCGTGTATGTTGGCAGAGCAGGAGTGGTGGGTTGGTGATGGATAGGAGGTGGATGTTCACCAGGCACTGGAGGCCTTAAGGCATCAGAGCAGCAGCGGGTGCCACGAGGTGAAGAGACGTGCAATCAGCAGGTTGTTTGTTTGCAGACCTCTTATCTGCCAGGTGTTTGCATCAGAACTCTAAATGAAGCAAAACTAGATATGAAGGGCACTCCTGGCTTGCAGAAGGGGTCACAGAAAGGGTTATTTTGTTATTCTTTCGAAAGAATAAAACCCTCATTAATGAACTGTTCTTCACATTGGTGAAGTGCCTTTAATCTGAAAATGTAAACATACTTAGAAACATTAGGAAGAAGAAAGACATGGGCCTGTATCTTTGATGCCAGTCCCTTAGGGTTGGTTGTCCAAAATTCAGAGTCTTGGACCCTGATATTCAAAGCAAGTATTGCTTCAGGCTCCAGGTGAGACCATGAAGCCTGTGAGTATTTGGCACTTCTTAGGGCTGGTGTTAGTACTGGGGTGTCCACGAGACAGCAGCTAAAATTAGGTTAAAAAAGAAGGAACAATAAATCTTGATAGAGGAAAGGATGAAAACCAAACCACCTAGTATCAGTGTTTGAGTCAGGAAGAAAGCCCAGCTCTCCTCTCTCTAGCTTTCCCTGTTGCAGAACCATGTTGAAATCAGTAAACATTAGGCAACTTTCAACTATTGGGCAAACAGTCCTCCACAGCAGTATGTTACGCACAAAGCTGCAGGCATATCATGTGTTCTGTGACTTAAAGCACATCAGAAAGATCAACAGACCTGCCTGGTCGTGGTGTAAAGTTCACTTCCAATTTTTTGTGAAGAATCATTACGTTTTTATTCCTCTTAAGCTAGGAAGGTGTTCCATGAGGAAACCTTGGGAAGACACTATGAAAGGGAACATCAGTTACAGTATTTTGTCTAGAGCTGATGAAGGATAGGTGTTCCCACTTCCATAGATCCATGTCAGTTGTTTTGCCCTAATTCCTCAGTTCACAGGTCTTTTCCCCTTGGCTCCCACTGCTCCTTCTGCAGTCAACAACCATGGCTGCTGCTCAGATGCTTTTGAATAAAACCTAAGAATGGTTACAAATGGAAATTTGGAAAAAAAAAAAATAGCAAGGAGAGTCTCCTGGGATAAAAAGGCCCCTGTTGAGTTGTCAAGGCTGTGGTAATGAGAGGAAATTAGCTCCTCAGTTTAGCTTTGTTTTGAATAGGGCC